TTTTACTTAAACAACTTTATATAAAATAATGACAAGAATCAAGACTCATGCGGTATGAAACTATCATACAATATACATTTTCCTTTACATTTGCTACACTAAAGAGACTCTATAGATCGGGAAGTGAGCGAACACATACCGTCGCTTGCTCACTTCCCGATCATCTCCCTGCAGAGAGCGGTGACTATCAGTCACCACTCCCTGCAGGGATTCCAGTCTTCCCCTCTCCGATCCTCCAGCACTGACTGGAGGAACGGACGGGGGCGGGCACAGCTGGTTCTGCTTCTAGATAGGCAGAGCCAGGTGTCAATCACGCAGCTGGGTGGATCTCGACAGTATTGTCGGGATCTGTCCCAGCTGCGGAACTCTCAGTATATAGCGGGCAATAGCGGTCCTCCTGTGACCCTAAAGAGAACTATGGGATACAAAGGTTACCCCATAGCTCTCTTTTAATGACCCTTCTTTTGCACCACCTGCCTTAGTTCCACAGACTCTTTGGAGATTATAGTCTCCTGGGTAGATAGCTGATCTATCCCTATTAACACTCACTATTTGTTACTACTGCTATGCATGATTGGCAAAATAATGAGAACTAGGAACACAGTTCTTTAATAATCATAAATACAATCATGTTGCTTGCATCTTTTATTCACAATTGTAACATGCTTCTCATGTAATTACATGGTATACGAACATGCTGTACTTTATGGTTATGATGGAAGTCTTCACAAGATGTGTCTGCAATATGTAGATCAAAGACTACATTCCAATTTGTTCAAGTACTGTAAGTCACTTTGTTTTGTACTTGTTGTTCTTTTCCATTTCTGTAACAACAAAACTTGGAAAAGCTCAAGAATGTTGTTCTTCTCAAATAATATATTCTAGATGAAAAAACCCATTGCGCCCAACCACTGTCTAATGTCTACACCCACATTTAAATTTGGCCTTAGCTTTTGAAAATGATTGCAATCATTTGTCCTGGTCTGCTCTAATCATGCCAGAAAGTGAGAGCGAGGCATGTTTCAAACTGTATTAGGTATTAGTTTGAAATGGCAAATTACATTACTAAACAGAATTAAAAGTACGTCTAATCATGCAATGAATTGTTGAGCTATGTTTTACCCTTACGTAACCTATGGTGGAATGTGGCAGCTTGAGCATTTTATGACAAATTGCTAATTAAAAAATCTGTCTGTGAGATTCTCAGCCAAGTCAACACATCCACTCAACGGGCACATCAGGGGTAAAATGCAAAAATGTAAAAAAAAGTTCACTAGTGGAGCCCCTCATAGTTGAAAGCTGCAGGTATGTACCATGCAGTCAAACCTTTGCTGGCAACCCTTTAAAAAGCACTAAAACACTTTTAAAAAGCCCTCAATTATCTCTCTAGAAATTTTGGAGAACTATGTCCTCAAGGAGGCACAGAAATCATATTCTTTTTTCTATTACTTTTTAGTCAACACAATCTTGGCAGCCTTCCAGCCTACTAATGTAAACTAACCGCAGAAGTTTCTAAGCTGTTATAAGGGAACCAACTTTAGAATCTTTGTTATGATCTTTGAGGATTAAGTACTTCACAGTACAAGCAGCTAGAGAGTTCAGGGATGGTAGGTTATAAAGCTCCCTTCGGTCCATTCACAGCAGGCGTATTGATTTGCGTTTCACACACAAACAAGACGATTTGGGTTATTTCCTATTGTCTTAATTCACAACAACGCAGTGCATTTTTCCACGCTAAAAAAAAAAGGGCGGCAGCAATTTTGCATTGCAATACACTATAATTGCATCTCAGTGTGCTGTTGCTCATAGAGATCAATTCTTCTTAAATAAATGTAATGCTATAACTGACTATTTACCATAACCAACATACCTTTTATACACTCATTGGAGGCTGAGTAGCCATACATGGGCTGATGGGTGCATACAATATTCACAGCTCAAAGCTTTGCTTGTGACAAATGCATCAAGTAGAAGACAACCAAATACTGGATGCACTGATTTATACATATCAAGGACAACCAACAATGCTGCATGGTTCTGTTAGCTAAGCCAGAGAGAAAGACAGAGGTATCCTAGTGTAGCAGTTAAAAAGGAAGATGGCATATCTTTCAGCACCCACCATTCCTTGCCCTTCCACTAGTCAAAGCATTGGATGTAAATGTCAGACAAGAGTACACACACGCACAATGGCTTACTGCTTCCTGAGGCCATTATTACAGGATACATGCCATTACAATGCATTCCTTTTAATGCTACATAGCAGCAAAATTTGAAGGAATGTAAACTTTGAGGATAATAATCTGTGCCCAATAAACCACATACTGTTATAGCAGGGAGAGTTTTATCAATATAAACCCCACAAATGCAGGCCAGTGCTAAAGGGCACACCACGTTTTAAAGATAGTTTTAAGAATCATTGATCCCAGGCACCAATTCACTGTATCTGCCTCCCATGTATCACTGTATCGGGGGCAGCTCAAGACGTTTCTAGAACCACTGTATTGATTCCAATGTAGCATACAGTTTTTGCAAATTAACTTCTATGAGAATTGGGTGGTAAATGAGATAACAAACAAGTATTACCTAACGAACCCACCAGTCACAAAACTCTTTACTTTCAGCATACAGTCAATAAGACAAGCTGTGTTTCAAAAGCAACTTTTGAAGATGAGCACCAAATAAATATAAAAAAGACACAAAATTATGCACCTCCGTTTTCATGAATACATCATGAAAAGTATTTTCAAGTGTAAGTACCTGAATCTAACTTGGTATTAGTCCCTGTACAGCACAGCTCTGAATGGAGGAGGGAGAAGCAGCACAAGAAGCCAATCAGTTGTGCTTCAGTACAAGAGCCATGCTGATAGGAGTGACAAAGAGATGAGCTCATTAGTCTGCTCCCCTTGCATGTCCAGTCACAGGCTGGGGGAGGGACAAGACTTGTAAGTGTTACTAAACAGGAGGATGGGGCTGTGCTATGTGGCAGAGCTGTCTAATTCTCAGGACTGGATAGGGAAAAATTGCTTAAGCAGGTAAAACAGCTCCCATATTTGTATTTCATCTTTTTAATTAGCTGATTAACTGGGAGGTCAGCTTCAAAATGGCCGTACAAGAGCTACACAAGTAAGTTTTGTGTAATTGTGCAAAAATACCATGGATTGAGAGGTTCAGGTATCAGTCTATTTTTGAAGAGGGTTGACAACAAAAATGTAAATCCTGATGTTAGTCAGGTCAAATAAATGGGGTGTAAAAAAAGTGCACAAAATAATAGAAGGATAGTCGGGTATGCATGGGTTGAATTTCAGCTGGTTCCTGTTGAACCGGCCAAAATTTGTACTGTGGGTGCCACTGTTGGCACCCTAACGCCCGACATGCCTCGATCAGCTGATCAAAAGAGCAAATCAAAATTTCAGCCAACTGGAGCTGAAAGCCAATCAGCTGCTAGCTCCATTGGGGTATTCTGACAGCAACCACCCATTGCTGGCAGAATATAATGCAAAGAGGGGGGGTCATCCATCAACATTTGTAAGACTTGATGAAGGAATTTGATCTATTTTTTTTGTTCAGCCAGCGAGTTGAATGAAAAAAACAGAACTGTGTATAACCCGCGTAACTCTTCTCTTATCTTTAACTGACCATAGGGATGCCAATAATACAGAGGAATCTCTTGAAAAGACAGAGGACTTTGTGCTGGACTTTACTTTGGTCAGAAAAGGTTTAGCAACCTCTGTCTCACACTGACATGGCAGGGCAAAGGCCGAAAGCCGACACCATAATAGGCCGTTGAGGAGAAGGAGCATAGTGAAGACAGCAGGAGGGGAGGCCCAGCAGAACTCTGCAGCTAGACATAGTGATGCGATTTACGGGCACAGATTGTGAAACAGCATGAAATACGGGGAAAGGAAAGAGACACGCACGTGGAGAGGATTAGCAGAGAATTTGCCATTTCAAAACATATATTACAAGGCTTTCTGTTGCCGTAGAAGCCTGTACAATTTGGCATCATGACACAGAAACAAGAGAACAGAAGACATGGGGAGGAAGTTTTTCTATTTAGCTCCCGTAAGCACACCAATAATACCAGACAATATACTAATATACAGTGTGCATGGTCTACAACAAACACTATGTTCAACATTATGCGAAGATGAACTTTAGTGTTGTTGATGAACAAGCTTAAAGTGAACTTGAACTCAAAAAGTGAAGATTTGCTATGTTGTAGGTAACATCTAGAAACATTACATGTGCCCAAGTGGTACCCTGAATAGGGTTGCCACCTGTCCTGTCCGGGTTTTGAATGCTGTGTCCGGGTTTCATGGTAGCAGAAACCCGGACACAAGATGTCAGGCAGACAGGGGCAACCAATATTAAGATAGGAGCTACTGGCCCCCCACTGAAAATAGTCTCAACTGTGATATTTACATATGAATGGGTGGCGCTATTTACATATGAATAAGCCGCGATTCATTCTCCCAAAAAAATGTCAGCGCGTTGCTAGAGTGTTTGGGTTTCGCTTGAAGAAAAGGTGGCATCCCTAACCCTGAAATATGTACTTTTTGTCTGGAATTCATCCTAAAAAATAGAAGTGCATTTTCTGTTATATCAGACTGCCTAAACGCTCCTACGCATACAACCTCATAGGTGTATATCTGCAGTGTGAGACCTAAGGCACTGTTGCCTGTAACTGCTACTTTCACAAAATTAGAGGAAGATTTTGTGATGCCTTTTCTTTGTTTCATGCATTTGCCTGCTTCTTTCATTCTGTGGACCTGTGCTTTGTGAAGTTCTTCAGCTTTTTTTGTGAATATCCCTCCACCAGTTATCAGATCACCAGGCATCAGGGGAAAGTTCTGACATGAGGAAGCAAGGCCCTATTCTTCTACCAAGATGGTCACCCCCACATAGAAATGCTATGTGGAATAGGGATTGTAAGTCACTATAATGGAAAAAGTCAGCTGACGGGAGGCCACAGGCAATAGGGATGGCTGGACCTTTGCCCTCAGCTTGTCTTTTTGTAGGTACAGTTTTCAGATTTCTTGTCCTCTTTAAAGGAAAAAGCACAGATGGGCTGCAGGGATTTCTAGAGCCATCATTACAGGGTCACTTTTTCCACTAATTATGATGCAAATGTTAAAAACTGCAGAACTGCCTGTAATTCTGTACATAATCTAATTGATGGATTGCCAGGTGCCACTTTTTGCCTTTCCTATGCATTATGTTTTATAAAATGCACTCTGTCAGCAAGTACCCAGATAGCAAGGATAACTTGCAAAAACGTGTGGCAGGGTTAAACTGTAATTCTTGTTAACTTGCTGCACACATTCCTGGCAAGTTGTAGACTTGCAGAACACTTGCAGCACAAGTTCTAGTTGACACTTTTGAATTTGTAGCAAATTGTTTGGCAAGTCTACAGCAAGAGTCCTGCAGGTCTTAGCAAGAGCTCTGCAAGGGTACAGCACTTTTGCAAAGCACGTTGATCTGGAGACTTGCAATGCAGACTTGCTGTAATTGTGCAACAAAATTGTGAAGCTTGGCAAATCTAGCAATAGTTTAGCAAGTCATTTTCAAACTTGCAGCTTAATTGCTTGCTTTCTGGGTAGTGGGATATATACAACCAAGCACTGCAGACTACACAGTATGTTCGCCTGATCTGGCGGTCTCTATGGTCAGGGAGTGCTCTAATGTTTATAGGTCATACCGGAACATGGCAGACATCCTCTATCAGGGTGGACCAGTTCTGCCTGTAGAACACTTCCCTAGGGATGTCTATAGGGTGCTTCCCCCCAACCCTTTCCACAGATATAGCCGGAATGTTTGCCTAATGTAAACATGCATGGCCGCAGCATGATCTTTTTTTTTTAACTAAGAGGCTGAAACGTGAATGTGGAAAAAGTACATTCATTATTTAAAAATAAACGTTTAAAAAGGAGTGAGATTTATAAGCAGCAACTGCTGACCTTTCCTTCTGAAAATTCTATTTTCCTGGCTGCCATGCTGATCCTTTCTCAGTCACAGACCTGAGACAAGAATGCTCTTACTGTGGTCACCATTGCAAAATATTCAGTGATTCTGGGTATTGGGGAGCAAATGACCTCCTCTAATGATGCAGTGCCAATTGCTAGGCTGGTGCACAGTCACAATGCAGAGGGAGTGAAGTCACTTTGAACCGCAGCACTGGGTATTTTGGTGGTGGCTGCAACAGAGGAGAAGAAAGGGTGGGGAAGTGCTGGAGAGAAAAACATTAGTGCTATTATGTCAACTACAAGACTACAACTACAAGAATGCCCTGCAGATAAAGAATAACGTCGCGTGCCAGGCTGGGCACGCGTGCCGGGGGTTGCTGACCCCTGTTCTAGATCATGGTTTTTGTATGAGACCTACACCATATGTCTGCAGTGGGTATGCTTGGGAATAGCTCTCTTGTATCACAAACATGTGAAAAACTGAGCAAGCTGTGGAGGTAGCACTTCCTGTATGCATTTTAATGTTGCATCTGTAGTTCTGACTGGAGTATATGTTTAAGAATTTTTAAGGAAACAGTTTCCAAATGAAACCCCGTCTCCTATATGGCATGGCCCTTCTGATAAAACATGTGCAACTATTTTCTGCTGACCTACAATGACTTATTGCACATGGCTGCACTTTAATCCAGACTGAAGAGATCTATTTAAGGGTCTAGTAGTCATTCACAATGTCTTGCATGTTGCACATTCTTCCCATTTTCCTTCAGGATGTTGCTCTCTCCGTAATAAATGGCTGTGGGATGGACTACTCCTGGCTGCTATATACAGAAGTGTTTCCATGAACCATATCCAACTCCTCTGGGGTTCTGCTTCGCTAAGTTGCTGTATAAATAAAACATAAATCCACAGTGGCATGCTCTTGTCTGTAATCTTGCGCTCAGTTTGAGATCAATTTATTGCAGTGCCCCGAGTGAAATGATCTGTGTCGACAGCGCACATCTCTATTGGCAATTTCTCTTGTATGGCCGGACTTGTGTACATACAACCAACCTTCAATAAGCAAACATTACCAGGAGACAAAGACAACCCAAGCATGAATACATCCATTTTTTTTTTACCAGACCTTAAAAACCCACTATACAGATTAGATGACACCAAAACACAGGTCACCAAGGGTGTTACTTACCCTTCCTTTCTAGATGATCTACAACAAAAAATCAGATTACAAAGTGTGTGACTAATTTAAAGCTTGTAATGCAAAGGGCTGACCCTTCTGCTTGGCACAAGAACCATAATAATATCCAACATCTACATGGGGCTATAAATACAAGCAAACATGTATGTAGCATGAATACAAGTACTAGGGTGCCATCTTGGAGGTCATGAGAAATCTAATTTCAATGGGACAGTTATTGGCCACTATCTAGTTACCATTATACATACGAAAATAATAAAAGTATTGTCTGTCACCCAGTACAATTATCACCTCATATCTTGTCAACATTAAAAGAAGAAAATCATACAAGTTGACCCAATATGACTTCTATTCTGCAATCCAAATGGTCATTTATCTGATGAGAAACTTACCTCTAGAGGAGAATCGCAGAGAAATCTGGTGAACTGTAAGACCAGGCAAACGCAGAAAGGAGGACAATAAGCAAGGGAAACAAAAAGAAACCAATGTTAGAAATCACATTTGAAAGTAATGTGTACAAGATTGTTATCAGTGTGATGAATAGTGTTTGCCTGCCTTCAATGTAGATCTGCATCTGGAAGTGTGGGATGAAACTATGGTCTGCTGTTTAGAAATGTACACTTCCATGTCCATGCCTGTCAAATGTACCAATAGAGGGCATATGATGTGGGAAAATATAGAAATATATACACTGGTGAGTGGGACTCTCATACCGAACAGTAGAAACAATTTAGTGTTTAGGGACCAGCCACCCAACATCAATGTCCACTAACATCTATGGTGGCTATTTACACTCCACAAAACAAGACATAACGCTACCAAGTGCAAAACTTCTTTTGTGAATAAAGGAACATCAAATTTTCATATTTTTTGCAATAGACTAATCAGGAATTGCCAAACTCCTCTCATCCATTGTTCATCTTTCAGCGTGTATCAGGAAACGTACGATATTCTGTTTTTTTTTTCCCCTCAGAAACCTCCAAATGATCCTTTGTCTGTCTGTGGTTTATCTAATTAGCAATTATTGCTGTAAGCATTCTCACTCACTTGAGAATGACCTAGGTGGCTGATTATGTGCAGGAATCTAGCACAAAGTTTCAAGAACTCCAGTAAGAAAAAGAGATTAGTCATGTTCTGATACAGAGCTTTCACACTCACAGCCTATATATGGTAAGTGTATGGTTTATCCCAAGTGTCACACTGAGCTTCTGTTTTGTGTCTGTGTATGTTTATTTCCAGGCAGCTCAAATGTAAATTTACCCACAATGAGAGCTGAATGTGTATCTTCTACACTAGAAATTTCTGCCTTTGGAAATTTAGTTAAGAGAATGATGAAGACATAAAAGAATGGAGTATTAGCTGTCATTTCAGAATCTGAACTCACAGAGAACAGAGGCTAGGTTCCAACCAAACTGTTTTTTGGTTTTATCTGTTAATCTTTCAGATTTATCCCTGACCGATCACATACTACAGAACAATTCAATCCCAAGGCCAATCTACATGCTTTCAATACCACCTGGATCAACGATAATTTGAATACCATTACACCACATATATGGCAGGTATGGGAAATTGAAATCTCATGCCTTCTACCTGATAGTACTCAACAGTTCTACGGTATGTGATCTGGATTTCTGAGCAATGCCACAGGCACAGGCAATTACAGATTTTTACTTGCATTATAACACATGTAGCCCAAGTATCTTGTAGCATAACCCATTGTTAGGATGTGTACAGACATGTGGGCAATATAACATAGATCAATCCTAACTCACTTTTGTGCCTTAGGGCTTTACGAAGTGCAAGAACACTGACAATAGGGAAGCGTTTCCTAACATGCCAGTGTGCAGATGTTTTGTATGCTTGCCATGGGGTCACCGAGAGTGACTGTAAATATAAATCACGTTTAGTTCAGTGCGCACTATAGCAACAGCATGATGCCAGTACAGACTGGTCACTGAGTGGGAAACATCTATAAATGTTAATGTGAACCGTGAATGAAAGAAGTGGATGTGTTTATGGCAAACAATCACATTTTGACCTCTAGTTATACAGTGTACGTTTAAAAAAAAATAACATGATTGGCTGCTACACTAAATTACCAGCTTGGTACCTCTGTGAAAAGGGCACTTTTTTTTTCTTAGAACAGTTCAGAGTGTTACTGTTCAGACATTCCAAAGAGTACCAGCAAGATAATTAACTCCATGTGTCCCCACCTCCCATCACTTTCATCACATCTGATCAACGACCTTTTGATCAGTTCAAAAGATCACTTGAATGCTTTTTGATTTATACAGCACTAGCCATAAATTCTCTAATACACAAGACCTTTATGTGAAGCACATTGTTTTTTTTCACATATTTAAAAACACATATTTTATTATAAAAGTCCAGTTTAGAAATGAGAGAGAATAAAAGCAGTATTTAAGATTGCCACAATTAAATCATCATGTTACACTACATTGCTATCATATTAATTGCTGTAAGAAGAAACGTTTCTTGATGGTACCTAAACCGGGGCTTTTGCTGAAAGAAAGTAAGGAGGTGTTGTAGAACCTTCCCCTGGGTAACAAAATGGGTCCTGATTGGGGTTAAGTATAATTTAGACTGGAGAATACTTCATTATCAGCTTCCTGTATTGATATGGCACCAATATATTACACAGTACTATATAGAATTCAAGTCCCCCTGTGCAGCTTAGGAAAAACTCAACTTATCTGCACATTGCTTGGATTCTGGAGCACAGACATAAAGAGAATATACATCAGGTAAGAAGGATCCTGGTGGGATCTAACCGTCCCCTCCGCTCTTTAAAAGACCTCCTGCATTCCAGCTCCCTCATCAACTCCTCCCATGCTCACCTCCAGGACTTCACTAGAGTCTCTCCCATACTATGGAACTCTCTACCCCAACCTGTCCGTCTATCTCCCACTCTGACTGCCTTTAGGCGATACCTTAAGACTCATCTCTTCAGTGAAACCTATCCCACCTCAACCTAAACACTGAACCATCACTTTCTCAAACAATTCATCCACACACAGCTACCTCCTAATGTATCACTTGCCCATCCCTGTTAGATTGCAAGCTTTCATGGGCAGGGCCCTCCTTACCATCTTGTCTTGAATTGTATTGTGATTGTAATGTCTTCCTTATATTGTAAAGTGCTGCGCAAACTGTTGGCGCTATATAAATCCTGTATAATAATAATAATCTGAATGAAGCAATATGCTAGGGCCATAAAGCAACATACAGCCCCAGTGCCAGTGAGTTATGCGTATAGCAGCAGAACGTAGTAAATATCACAACCATGTCAAAAAAAAAAAAAAAAAGAAGAGGAGAAAGCCAACAAAAAACATGCACATTATGTCAAAATCAAGTTAAATATTTTTCCAAAAAAGAAGTTTACTGTGCCTAAGGGAAAAATGGGGTAACGTACATCATCTGCCCTATAGGGGAACTTTCACAGGAATCATGGAAAAAACACATATATTGCTGGACTTTTGCCATTCACTTGCAGAAAATGGACTCCTGACTAAACAGTCACACAGACAGTTTTGTGACAAGTGTACGGCTCTTCCAAACCTGGCACTTTGTGCTTTTCCAAGCCTGGCACTGCACAGATACAGCTTGCTCATTTACAGTTCCAGGAAAAGACATCTTTATATTTGCAGCTGCATGGGCAGCCCCCAAAGCAGGAGGAATCGACCTGCCCAAGTCAGACATATCCTGCTGCCCTACATTTTCCAGGTCTGTCAAAAAAGCAGAGGGCACAGCCTGTTTTACACCAGCACAGGGAAGAATAGACTTTGATGGCTGTAAACCTTTCAGCACAGGGCAAAATGTTCATAGCAATGCATCCCCAAGAGGTCTGGATAACCTTACTACTACCCGCAGAATACAAACATCTTACTATGATCATTACCAAATGTATGACTGAACAAAGAGAAACATGTTCTGTTTGGAATTAAACAGTGCCCTTTAGTGTAAAGCAGGAGTGCCCAATCCACAAGCTGAGACCAAACACTTGTATTGTATTTACTCTAATTAAGCTGTATACAGCTGTTCATTGCAACCCTTGATTTCTTATTTCCATATGGAGAAAATCATTTTCAGTAAACAAGTAACAAAAGATGCTAGAGTTGACTATCACTAAATGTCCAATAACGGTTCAAACTTTTTGGTAATTTAGAAGGAAAGGATATGCAATAAACCCTTTTAAATCTTGCCTCCCTACTGATCTTACATTGGCAGCATAGTTTTTAATAAATCTAAATGTAATTACCTGTTTTTAACCTTTGTCCAAGCGGTCACATGACTGCAAAGCTCCAGTAAATGCGCCTATCTGTGCAGGCCCACCCACACCGGTGAATCCTTAGAGCAGTGACATCACCCCACCAGTGTCTGTGGCTCTTAGGTATTGTTGGCCCTGAAAGTGTTACTTTGCCCACCAGCCACATAGACAGGCACACTCACTGGAGTTTAGCGATCACGTGACCACTTGGAAAGAGATTAAAAACAGGTATTTACAATGAGATTTATTACAAATTGTATGCAGCAAATATAAGAGCAGTGGTGAGGTAACATTTAAAAAGGGGGGTTACTCCATAGCCTTTCCTTTTACTACTTTTAAGGCATATGAAGCAGTACAGTGGAGTAGCTGTCTTGCAGAACATGAAAACTGAATTTAAAGTGTATGTCCAAGCATGACCCAAACTTACACTAAAAACCTACAAGACCCACCATAATTATTTTCTTTTACTTTGTTTCCATTTCATAAACAGCTTTTATCACTCCCTGTGGCATCACCAGGCTTGTAACATCCTTGCAGGGGTAGCTTCTAGGAGGTTAGTTCCTACAGATATAGACACAGCCCCCTCCCCAGAACTATCTCCCAAGAGCCCTTTTTCTACACACCATGTGGACAAACTATTAGGAGTCAAGGCAGCAGCACTGCTTTACTGGGAAAGGTATTGCACATGTGTGGAGTCGGGGATAGGCTGGAGTTCTGTAGTGCAGCAGGCAGGGTTGACAATGCTGGTTAGGGTTTAAGTGCAATAAAAAGGCACAATGTTGGCAGCCCAAACAGGAAATTAGGTGCACATTGGATCTCCGGTATCTTAACGGATGTTTTTCTGTACTTGCATTATTTTTAAAAGGGAAAAAACATGGAGAAATGTGTTTTTACTGAAGAGATGTACTAAATATGTTTTTTTCCCCATTTGTCCTACAATATACTTAAAGCCCAACTAGGTCCTTATCTACAAAGAGATTTGTGCTTGCGGTGTTTTCTCACACATATGGCTTCCAAACTGTCAGTTTATATGTGAGAGTTCCAGGGACATTACCTTGTTAGCATAAATAAAGACCATAAATATACACTGTGTGCACAATTATTAGGCAAGTTGTATTTTTGAGGATTCATTTA